AACAAAGAACGGATCGTGCGACAGAAATAATAAAAAAAGATCCTCCGCAAATACGTGATATGGAATCTGAATAAACTGACATCCTTTGTTTGCAATGATCTCTATCAGTGATGTTTACAAAAGCTTCGATACCTAAAACAATCGATTTTTTTATTAATAACGCAACTATTTTGTATCTTTGTTACCTATCGTAATAATGATAGGCAAATTAGTCAATGAACTTTAAAATGAAACTTTAAAAATGAACTATGAATACTATGAAACTAATGAACTAAAAATAACACTTCTGAACTTTGGCACTAAATACGTATTTCTCTGTTATTTTAAAGAGGATAAAAATGATTACATTATAAAATTTAAATAGTGGAAAACCAGTTGTCAGGCTCAATTCTCGCAGGTAATTATTGTGGTTCTACACGCGACGGTTTCGACGAAACATTTTCAATGTCAAGAGCATTCGTGTTCGTTAGAATGAAAACAATACAGGAAAACGTTATAATAATACTGCGCAGTTTAGAAATGAAAGATATTTCAGCAATGTTTTTGTATAAATACAATAGCAAACAACTGTTCATCAGATATTTTGAAATTAAATAACGAATTTAGGTTTGCTCAAGATATCTACAATACACTTTGAAGATTGTACGCGATGGTTTTAAAAGCCATTTTTTTATAAATGCACTAGCCTATGCAATTTCGGCCGTGACTTATTAGTTCTCTAGATCTGGACTGTCCTCTAAATATATGCCATATTTCATTGAGATCTGTTCAACAGTTTAGGCATAAACTCTTACAAACATTTATCAATCTATTTACATTAGTCAAATATTTCAAGAAACACGTGGACAATATTACACATATATCCTAAATTGTTGAAGACCTTAATTTTGTTTGTACATTATGGTTCACTTTTATAACGTACTAGCTTTCGCCCGCGACCCCGTCTGCGTGGTATTAACAAAAACTAAAGCCTATATGTTCTTCCATACTATCTTCTACAACTATGCTACATTTCATCGAAATCCGTTCAGCTGCTTAGGCTACAAACTCTAACAAACATCCATCCATCTAAACTTTCACATTTATAATATTAGTATGATAGCATTACATAACATATTTAAGTTGAATTCAGTAACGTAAACATGTATTTTGAAATAGTTTTCATATCAAGTAACTAACTTTAAGTCAAGGCAATTATGCAGAAAAGTGGAAAAACTTAAATTGCAAACCATAATTGACTTGTTAATTTGTTTGCGTTACATAACGTTTGATTTTGGCTTGAGCAACCTAATAGAATATAAATGTAATATTTAAGATTATTATTAAGACCGTTATAAACTTGACCGAAATAAGAAAACCAAATATTTTCGAAAATCGCTTATTTATTTAAAAAAAGACATTTAATGTTGCCCCAGTTATGATCGACATTTAAAAGTAAACATTTTCTTGGCAAATAAAGCCTTTTCTCTAAGAGGCTCTTACTCGAATAATACTTGGGCAATTTACTTTTATTAGCGAAATGGTAGAGATAAAACTTTTGAGAGAAGTTAGCGGTTTATAATTTTTAGATACAGTGTCAGCGAAATTAGACATTTCTGTGTTACTTAAGGACTTTTTGAATATCATAATTATGATTTTTTATAAAATTAGCTATTATTTTAAATACAAAAATTAATATTTAGGTATAGTCGATACGCCGTTTCTATAAATTTCAGCACATCTTAGTTTCGTATTTCAATGAAAACTAAAAAAAAATAACTAATCAAATTTTTTTTAATTAATGCTCCAATTTGCATAAAGTCCGTAATCCTAACAAGTCATTTGATCCTTTTCGTAAATTCCTGCAAAGTTCCAAGCGTGAAATAATTCTCTCTCAACCGTTCAAGATAAGAACATAATCGAATTAAATTTAAAAGCAACGACATCGTTTTCTGTTCGTAAAGTAAAAGATAATTTCACTTGAATTTTCTATTTTTAGTTATGGTTCTTTAGAAATCTATTTACGTTTGTGTCAATATGACTTTATTTACTAAAACTATTTACTAACTAAACTAACTCGCACTAAAATATAATAACATTTATTTTATTCAAAAATAAACGCGACTACATCCACGTAAAATTTAAAAATATGTCTTGTGTTTCTCAGTGATAATGTAGCTTTTTAATGGGCAAAGAATTTTAGTACACATTAATAGATTTTACTTAGTGTTAACAATATGTACAAGTTATTTAGAGAAAATCTAAATGTTATCTTAGTACAGACATTTTTGTATGTAGGTTTTAACTGCGTAAAAAAAGAACAAATATTCTTGCTCTCTGGAGCTTTATACAGGATGTACAAATAGGAGTCTGGGAGCAGCTATATTTTGTAACAAAAATCTGTCACCATAAATACACCCGCATTTCCATTCAAAGTAGATTCCAGTGAGGATAAAAGTATTTGAATGAAATGCTCGTAATGTTTGCAGATTTAAAGTAGGGCTTTGTATCGTAATACATCACGCGTAACTCTGTTAGGGCGGAATAAAAATTTTCATGTCAAGTTATATAAAGTTACTGGCTTTATACGCAGAAAAAGAAAATTGAAACTTTGTATATTGGCTGTTGCCCGCGACTACAACGTGAAATTTAAAAACATAGCCTAAGTTATCGATAACGTAGCTTTTAAATGGTGAAAGAATTTTTTAAATCGTTTTTTAAACCCAGTAGTTTTTGATTTATTCCAATACATAAAAAAAATACAAATCTGTCCTCTATAATGGTGGTATAGATTAAGATATCGTTTACTGGATATATCTTATAATTATTTTATTTCCCTAGATCCTATTTGTTTACTCTATAGATACTGTTTCGTATACCTCCCGCCGTAACGTTGAAAGCGGCGATAATTAAATAACCATTTAAAAATATGAAGATATAAGTTAGAAGTTTATAAAAATCTCATCCTATAAAATCTAGCGTTAAAAAGGTCACAAGTTTTAAGAAAATGAGATCTTTTATATAAAAGAAATATCGGAAATTTACTTCTATATCGAACCTGACATTTTGTTACGCAAACGATACAATAATAACTCCCTAGATTAACGCCTACGTAAAAGTACTTACCAATAAAGTATTTAATGTACTTTTTTATTCTAATGCTGATGTTAACACGAAGTAGCCTTAACTATAGCACTAAATAAAAAAGAAATAGACGGAAACATAAAAGAACTAACGTAAAAAAAGATTTTATTATCGATATAATTTATTGAATAAAAAAACAATTTTATTGAACTACAAGGAATATTCTGATTCTATTTTTATATCATAAAATTATAAATGCCGATGCAGATAGTAATATTATATTACATACTAGCTGGTGCTCGCGACTTCGCGCGTGTGCAACAGAATATGTTACTCAGAAATAACGTAGCTTATATAATAGTGAAAGAATTTTTACAATCGACCCATTACTTTTTGAGTTATTTCAATAGATACAAAATAAATCTTTTCTTTTTATAATATTAGTATAGAAAACAGGTAAACAGTAAGGTTAAAATATGAATTTAATAGTCCATATTAAATATTCTATATGCTTCAAATATGCTTCAAAGGTTGAGCACACACAATATTACGTCTCGAATCTGTCGCGTTGAGTTAAGAGCAAGCCGGCACGCGCAAATAAATTAGTCGGCGACTGGAAATGAAATCCCTCGAGTAATAAAACATTTGCTTGTACAAGACTAGACAGTATCCGGAATTACGTTAAATCCAAGATGATTTTGCTTTGTGCATTTTATATGTCTAAATAATATGCCCAAAGTGTCGACTTCATTTGTTTCACAGGAGAAGTAATTCTACTAAGAGCGGGCACACACCTTTGACAAAAATATCGCACCAACTGTTGTGCGATTTTCTAATTTAACTGTTTAGTTATACAACTAAAATCGAGTAGTGTGCACCTTAATGTAAGCTTATAGGAAATAAGCGCGACTAAACAGTTGTGCCATAGTTTAGTCAAATACGCGCGCAACTGCCACTCTTCCGGTGCAATATAGTGTTGGTTAATGGGAAATTATTAAGACTGTGTCTTTTGACGGTACACATGTACGGTATAAAAACCGCACAATAAGTGTTTTGTTAACCAGTGGACTGTAAATCCAGAGGTCGCGGGTTCAAATCCGGCTCGAAGGACCAAGAAAGTATTAGTTTAGTATTTTCGTCGCGTGCGTTATAATGGTATATAAAATGCTTATTCGGGAAAAACATGTATTCGTACACTGTACAACCCTTTAAAACTTGTTTTATGCAAATCTGTGTTTACAATGAAAATAAGGATTGCAATATTGTGAAACACAATTCTCATTTTAATATAAAAAAAACTTCAGATTTATATTCAAAGTTATGAATAACAAGCGCAAACAACTTGTAATGAAGCAAATTCCTCTGTGTTTGTTACATTATTAAGACAACTTTTGTATAAAACGGAATTTTGATTTATGTCTTTATTGTACCATTCGGAACGTATAACATACATTTATATATTCTTTACGATTTAATATTAACATCGCGAATATATTCAATCTATAGAGAAAAAAAAATACTGAAAAGCTCACTAATAAAATTCTTTATTTATTCGGATAATAGAGATAAGCTACATGTATTATATATATTTCTATGCCACTTATCCTGGGTTGCTGCAGTGTCTATTCATCTCATCATTAGTGTTAGGTTGACCTAAGTTTTAACGTAGTAAAACTTAAGTTACGTAGTTGTGAAACGCGTTTCATGAAGTTAACGAGACAATAACACTAAGCGTAGCTGGAATTGGCTAATATGTGCCTTATCTTGTCTGCAGCACGTTTGTGACAGGGAATTCGACATCGACAATTTGAGCTCTTTATTAAATGTTGAATATAAAATTTTTAAGAAAAAAAAATAATATTCAAACATGAACATCATGCCAGTATGTTCGTATTAAAAAGAAGGTCGAGAGGTAGAGGTTTTAATGAAGCACGTACCTGAGTTCGCAACCGGCGCACCGGATACTGCGACTATGAGAAGTACTGACAAGTACCAACACGGAGCGAGCATTTTTGATGATCTGTGGAAAGAAAATAAACAAATTAATATACATAGATGATAAAAAAATAACATTTGTAATCAGAAGGATTTAAAAAGATAATTTAGTATACAATATTGTGGTTAAAAAGAATACTTTCTTAATTGTAAACCAGTAGTTAAAGTAAAATTTCATATAAACAAAATCGCTGTATATTTGATTATGAAAATCTAGTTTAAAGTACTACAAAAAAATATAAAAAAACGAAACCGACTTCCAAACAAAATACACTAAAAAGTAACGAAATAGTTCCTTGAATTACTTAAACCTCCCTTATTGTTGCTGTTACGTATATACAATCATTATTACTTTGAAGTCGGTGTCAGCCGAGATAGCGATATTACTTTTGGAAACTCGGTCAAAAATAATTTCTTAACATATACACATTCAAACATTCAATAATATAACGTGTAGATAACAGAGTTGAATAATTAAATTTGAATCTTACGTGCAATTAATTGCAATTGACGTCCTAATCCATGGAGATGTGGCAGCCAACTGTGTCCATTATGTCGATCACAATGGAGCAAATTGGTCGCCGCGCACAAAGACCTCAATACCAACTGGCACACTAATATTGTTACCGAGTATACATGTACAAGACATCGTTGAGTATTTGAATACTTTAAAGGATTGTGTAGTTGAGTATTGTGAAGTAGAAAAAGAAATTAAGGTATGTATGGTACACAAATTATCCAGTTATCCTGCATTTTTATTTTTAGGTCTTTTTCCAGAAATTCTAAAATCTATCCTCTCAATTTCTTAGTTATATTAGATCACTGTGGTAGTGCCCGCTTTAACATCTTAGCACGAATATGCCAGCACGCCCGGTGTAATACCACGACCACACAGAAGACAGGCGTGATATGGAAGCAATTCCGTGTTTCGTCTGATGAGTGTGGTGCCGGAGGACTAATTTTAGTCCCTTTCCCTTTCTACCCTTTTATTAAGAGGAGAGGAAGGGAAGGAAAAGTGGAATTGACGGTGAAGCAAAGGCATAGGAAGGGGAAATGTCCTCTTTATGTGCGTCTTCTCTTCAGTCACTTAAGGGTAGGCAACGCATCTGCAATTGCGGATGACTATGGGCAGCGGTCGCTTTCCATTTCGGTGGATTTAGGTGGCCACTAGTTCGTTTGCCACCTTATATTATAAAAAAAAAATAAAACCTAGTACTTTTAATACATTTTAATGTGTAGATAAAACAGATAAAAAATTGGAAACCATCAAATTTCAATTGCTGAGTAAATTTAACGTTACCAATAATAAATCAAGTATTACTAGAAATAGAGTTCGGTATTGAAAATAGGCACAAAGTGATTTCCATAAATCGACATCGATAAAAAAAGGACGGAATGTATCGAAGCAAATTGAATTTACCTCGGCTAGGGGACTTCGACGGCGGGGAATCTGTCGCCAAGGCGAGCGCAACGAAACCTTAAAAGCTAAACGCTATAGAATTATTGATTACTCCAATATACCGTTTGAGCTTGTTATTAATGTATTTATTATTCAATGCTTCGGTAAATTTGCAGTTCTTACAGTTCAAGTAGCTTTTAAAAATTACCCAAGAGGCAATAAAAATTACAAGGCGGCAGTTTTCCATAAATTTTCATAGGTAATTTTAAAACAAACACGAATGAGTAATAGATATATGGGTTAATTTATTATTCATGGACAATAACCTAAGTAAACGTTTTCATACATGTATGCTCTACTTTCCTTCTAAAACCTACTTGTAAAACGAGAATACCTCACTGAAATGTTCCTACTAATAATTGTAACAACGTGATCGTAGAACAAAAACAATATTACCTTCCCTCTTATATTCATCCCATTAATAGAGAAAACAATAACACAGTATAGTTTCAAGTTTAGTATCACTTTGATTCCTATGAGGTTATGTGAAGGTGCGCAGACTACTCGATTTTTAGTTGTGCAACTAAACAGTTGAATTCACTGCGAAACAATCGATAATCGCTCAATAGTTGTGCGCCAGTTTAATCAAAGGTGTGCAACCGCTCTAACGGTTGAAAATACATCTTTTCTTTCGACAACCGAATCACGTCGTCAATCGGTGTCAACGTACTAGGGTGTAGCGGGGTTGCATGCGGAGTGCGGGGTGCGGGCTACGGGGGTGGAAGAGATGAACTGGGTCACCGGAGCACCAGCGGCCGCAGACCTAGAAACACGAAACCGAGCTCGTTTTAAACTCTCCACACAATAACCATTATTTATAGAGATTTATCTCGCATTTGTCAAAAGAATGAATACAGAAAAAGTAAAAAATGTACTAAATATCCACTCATAGCATGCTGTTATTAAAACTCATCCATTAGAGATTCAATTAGTTGTTTTTTATTTGATTTTTATAAGGGGTTGAGAAAACACAGAGGTGATCATCGACCATCAAAAACTACAACGCCAAACCAACTAAAATTAAGTTGTCGGCCATTAATATATTTTTTTTTATAACATAAGACAGTAAACGAGCAAGCGGCCACCTGAATCCGCCAGAATTGCAAAGCGACCGCTACCCATAGACATGCCCGCAATTGCAGATGGAAGAGACGCACATAAAGAAGATATTTCCCCTTCCTATGCATCTCCTCCACTGTCAAATCCACTTTCAATCCTCTACTTATGAGAAAAGGGTGGTAAGGAGTAAGTAACTTACATTAGGCCTCCAGCACCACACTCATCAGACGAAACACGGAAATTTCACGCCTGTCTTCTGTGTGGTCGTGGTATTACACCGGGTGTGCCGGCCCATTCGTGCTAAGATGTTAAAGCGGGCACTACCACTGTTAATAGATGCACTCGCTTTATGAAGGATTCTATGTCATAGGTATTCGCCTAGTTATTGAGGTTATGTGATTCCCTATTTTTATTCACATTTCAAGCAATAAATAACAAAGTTACACGTAATCGTAAATGTTTGTGTGAGATAACAGTATATCACATTTAATGTCACTTACAGGACTTTGCTTTTAGTGTTTCAACATTTATACTGTTCTAGACTACATTCCTTTGTTACGGAATGTTATTACAGAATTTAATTAAACAAGGAAACACAATTCTGTATAAGAACATTTAATAAGAATACGACAAAAGTTTAAAATTACAATTAAGATTTTGTTTACAATAAAAAAGTTACGTTCAGTTTTAATTTAATCGATTTACAGAAATATTATTACTTTGTTAATAACCTTCTAATGAAGGATATATAACCCAGAAATCTGAAATGAAAATCTATGAACTTAAGATAGTATATAGCTAATAACCATTTCATTGTAAACTTTAACTAGCTGTTCCCATGCGACTTCAACCGCATAAAATTATGAAAATTTTATTTTATTGTTTACATTTGTCAAATTATCAATAGCAAATGTCAAAATGACATGACATGACAAACCTTGACAATCTTGCTTCCTTGATGTTGGCAGCAACTTATGGTCTCATTTCCACATTAGGATTTTATCCAAAATATTTAACCCCAAAGTTTAATAGCGTGAAAATATATAGCCTAAAGCGTGACGTAAATGTAGGGCTTTTTATTAAAAAATACTTATTCAAAAATATGCTGTATTTGCTGACATCTTAGGCATCAAAGAAGTGTGTGTTTACGCTTTATTATAATAGTATAGATTATTCTAAAGCTATAGCTTAAAATATTATGCAACCATGATAATCCTGGTACGACAAACTTTGATTTAAAAACTGTTCCAACAAACTTATCCAGAAAATTAACTACTCTAGAGCTTTGCGAAAGAAATTTGCAATCACAACGGATATTGCCCAACGTTTTAACGGGACCATGTTTCGAAATACACGTAGAAACCTTACGAGATTTCACACGAGGGTAGAACAGTGACATAAGCAGTAAGACAGTGTATTTGTAGGCAGACAAGACTGTGCAGTAATATTTTGCTTATTTAAACTTTATCAATATCGTACTGTATTTTACCCTGTTCAACCCTCGTGTGAAACTAACTTTACATTCAAGAAAGTATAAGTTACGTAGGTTGCGGGATGTGTATCTTCCCTTTCCCAACCTACCCTATGTTTGTCTTGAAAGTTTTGTGAACTTCCCAAAGTAATCAACTTAAATAGACTTCTGTAATATACTGAAATAACAAATTAAAGTTCGTAAGTTTGCTTCAATCGAGATTGTAAACAAAGCTAATAAATAACTACTTAATTCTAAGTAATTAATCTATACTTAAATTCTAAAGAGAAAATATTTGTATTTTTGTATTGAAATAACTCAAAAACCACTCTGCCGATTTTATAAATTCTTTTACCATTACAAAACTACGTTATCAGTAAGTAACACAATATATATCTATTATTTTTTTAATTTCATACAGACGAAGTCGCGAGACACAGCTGGTTAATAATAATTAAAGAAATAGAACATGCTGCTTTGTCTTAATTAATTAACCGTAATCAAAAATACAAATATATTATTGGTAAGAGAATTACAAGTCATAATGTTAAAAATAAAAAAACTTTACAGATGTTATGAATAAAAATTGTGTACATAAAACAATCATAATGGTAGGAAAAATTCCTCGTCACTATACTCGTATATAGGCTTTGTATTAACCATGACTGAAGCTTCAGTCTTTGTTATTAACTGTGTTTCGGAAGTCTTCTCTCTAATATTAAGCCTCTGTACAAGCGAGATAATTGTCTTTATCAATCCTACCATTTGAGAAGATACGTTCCAGTAAACATTGATTGCTTTTCCATCTTCAAATAGATTAGACTACAGCTGTGAGATACGTTCTGATAACGAATTGGATTCAGGGAATTAATTCAGTTATCATACTTATCATACTAATATTATAAATGCGAAAGTTTGGATAGATGAAAAGATGGATTTTTGTTAGACTTTGTAGGCTAAACGGCTGATCAGATCTGGACGAAATTTGACATAGATGTAGAGCAGTCTGGAAGAACACACAGGCTACTTGCTTTTGTTTTTTAATTACACGCGGACGAAGTCATCATGATGATGTAGTCGCGGGCAAAAACTAGTCAACGATAAAACATACGTATATTAAATTGCACTTTTAGTATTATTTGCGGTTACAATAGTCTCGTGTAGCTGTTGTTTTGTTTTTTTATTACAGTAAAATTAATTTATACAGACCGTACCTATTTGTAATTCTAATTTTATTTTTAAGATGATTTTTAAAACTCATAGATTTAAATTAGATTATTTTTTATAAGTTGTCGTAAAAAATTAGCAAAGATACAAAAGTTTCTCGTACAGACCTTGAAACATGTTACATATAAAATCATATTTGTAATTAAATATAACGTAGGTTAACAGTTTTATGTTTTAAAAAAGTTAAAATTAACAAAATTATAGTTTAAAACATATTCATTAGTTCATTAATTAAAATGTTACAAGGGTTTCTGTTAAAACATTAAAATGGAAAATGTTTTTATTAAAATACTCTAAAACTTTGTTATATTATAC